CTGCACCCAGCTCCAGCCCTTTTTTATATTTTATTTAGAGACAGAGTCTACAATCAGTTGCTTAGGGCCTTCCTAAATTGCTGAGGCTGGCTTTGAACTCATGATCCTCCTGCCTCAGCTTCCCAAGCTGCTGGGATTACTGTGCTCGGCCCCTAATTACTATTTTAAAAAACAGTAAGAAAAGCTGGGTTCATGCTGGTAATCCTAGCAACTCAGGAGGCTGAGGCAGAAGGATGGCAAGTTTGAGGCCAGCCTCAAGTTGCAAGGCTCTTGAGGGACCTGGATTCAGTCCCAGTACCAAAAAAAAAAAAAAAAAAAAAAGTAGGAAATATGCCAGCTGATTCGGAACAAAAGTTCTTAATATTTTCTAAGTGTCAACAAGTTTGTGATAATGGGACTTTCTAGAAAAAAAGTGGGTAATATCAGTAGAATCGGGAAAGAGGTTCAGGGGAGGCTTCTAGGAAGAGGTGACGGTTGAGATATGGCTATGAGAAGTACTGGGCAATTTGTGTTTTCTTCTACCCACCCGCCCTGTCCAGGCCATACACTGGCCCTGAAGCAGAAGTACAAAATACATTGTGAAAAATATATTTAGGTGAATTATATATTTATGATTTTTGACTGCACAAATAAAAACCTTCAGAGAGGTTCATATGAAAATGTCAATGGTTGAATGACCAACTTATCATTAAAAAAAAAGATATATACTACCATAGATATGAAAATTTGTGCTGTATATGTGTAATAAGAATTGTAATGCATTCTGCTGTCATTTTTTAAAAAAATCAATAAAAAAAGAAAGAAAGAAAGAAAGAAAGAAAGAAAGAAAGAAAGAAAGAAAGAAAGAAAGAAAGAAAGTTTCACATTGAAAGGGTTTAGGTATTAAGTGACATTCAACCAAATACAAATGTGATCTTAAAAATAGGCTGGGCATGGAGGAGCATGCCTATAATCCCAGTGGTTCAGGAGGCTGAGGCAGGAGGATCACGAGTTCAAAGCAAGTTAGTGAGGCCCTAAGCAACTCAGTGAGTCCCTGTCTCTAGATAAAATATTAAAAAGGGCTAGGGATGTGGCTCAGAGGTTAAGTGCCCCTGGGTTCAATCCTGGGCAACACACACACACACACACACACACACACAAATCATCTACTAAAGAAAGTGAAGACACAGATTAAATTATATGATGTCTAAGATCTGCTTCAAGGTTATCCAAAGTAGGTACTTGATGCAAGATAGGGCATTAATTAGAACTCAAGAGCAGTTTCATAGAGGTTCATCACACCATCTTTCCACTTTTGTATGTATTTAAAATTTTCCTTGTTATAAAAAGGTAGGGCCAGGCATGGTGGCACATGCCTGTAATCCCAGTGGCTTAGAGAATCAAACATTTGAAGCCAGCCTTAATGAGGCTGTAAGCAATCTAGTAAGACTCTGTCTCAAAATAAATAAATAAATAAATAAAAAGGGCTAGGGATGGCTCAGTGGTTAAGCATCTTTTGATTCAATCCCTGATACCAAAAAAAAGGGGGGGGGGATTGCAGTTGTAGCTCAGTGGTAAAGAATTTTCCTAGSATGTATGTGTGGCTCTGAGTTCTATCCCTATTACTGTACCAAAAAATAAAGTTAGTAGTGGTTCTCTCTAGGTTATAAAATTATGGGTGGTTTCTCTTTAGATTTTTTTTCTATTTCTCATGTTCTACAATGAGCATTTTTTTTAATGAGAAAAAAACAGTCTGATATTTGTTTGCTGACTGCTCAATCTGAGAGAAAGCAGAAAAAATGTGTCTCAGAGGAGGAGGAATGGAAGGGGATTCAGAGTTGGGAAATGGTAGTGTGGAACCATCAGAAGAAAACAGAGTGGAGGGCAGTGGAAGCCAAATAAGGACTTTCTCTGCCTTGCAGAGTTTGAGAACGGCTGAGATTATGGCTTGGAAGAGAGAGATGGTTTGCTGGTCTCAAAGCTTGGGACAACAGCTRTTGGGATCAGAAGCAAAGGTTGATCTGAGAAGGGATCATAGTGGGGAGGAGGAGCACCTAGCAAGCAAGGACTTCAGAATGAGAGTCCACTTTTGCCTAGACATTGTGACCCAGTGGTGGCTTGAACTTGAGTCAGGTTTATTGAAGAACTCTGACATTGGCTCTGTTCTGAACCTGGTGTGCCTGACCAGATGGGCTGAAGAGCAATGGGCAAGAAAGTAGAAAGGGGTTGGGGCAGAGAAGCAGTGGAGGGCTGAAACCACGGTTAGATTGTTCACTTTGGAGCTGAATCAGAAATGTTAGCCTCCATATCAGCAAGTTGACTCAGGAAGGGAGAGCTCCTAAGCCTTCTCCTCCATCTCCTCAAGAGCTTCCCCCATAGATCCCAGGCCACTGAGCTTCTCGTATGATGAGAAAGGACTTGAAGCAGAGGCAAGGTGCTCAACCCAGAGGATATATGAGAGGCTTCTAGGTCCATCAGTGACTTCTGGTTCAGGGCCAGTGTATGGGCTGGGGGTGGGTAGAAGAAAACACAAATTGCCCAGTACTTCTCATTACCATATCTCAAACATCCTCTCTTCCTAAAAGCCTTCCCTGATCCTCTTTCCTGATTATACTGACATTACCCAGTTTTTTCTATAAAGTCCTATGATTTGTAACTAGATTTTTTGGGTGGGAGGGGTACTGGAGATTGAACCCAGGAGTGCTTAACAATGGAGCCTCATCCCCAGCCTTTTTTTTTTTTTTTAAGAGAGAGTGAGAGAGGAGAGAGAGAGAGAGAATTTTTTTTTAATATTTATTTTTTAGTTCTTGGCGGACACAACATCTTTGTTGGTATGTGGTGCTGAGGATCGAACCCAGGCCGCACGCATGCCAGGCGAGCGTGCTACCGCTTGAGCCACATCCCCAGCCCCCCAGCCTTTTTTTAAAATCGAATTTCATCTTATTTTTTTTTAATTTGAGACAAGGTCTTGCTAAGTTCCTTAGGACCTTGCTAAATTGCTAAGGCTGGTCTTGAACTTGCAATCCTCCTACTCAGTCTCTGGAGTCACTGGGATTACAGGCATGTGCCCTATGCCCAGCTTGTAATAGATTTTTTTTTTTAATTTAGTGTGATTTATTGTCAATTTTCTCTCTTCTGCTGGCCTGAACATTTATGAATTCAAGGATAATGTCTGCTTGTTCACTCTTAGAGTCCARTGTTAGCACAGGGCCTGAGTCAGAGTAAATGCTCAATTGATATTTGTTGAATGAATATGGGGAGGCTAGGCAAGTGGGGAGAAGGGAAATCACTGGGGTCAAGGGAAGGACAAGGGCAGGGCAAATCTTCCAGTTTGCACCATTCAGGGGGCCCTCTGGGAAGTGCTTTGCATTCCTGGTGCTAGTGACAGGACTGTGCATGCCCAGGAATTGAAATCTGTGTTGCATGCCAAGGCCTCCTGTGTTCTTCTGGAAGTGAGGGCTTAGTTGGTGAGGAGAGGGGGAGAATGGAAGCACAGAAGCTCAGCATCTTAGCTTCTGGGAAAACATGGGCTGCGGAGGCAGCCCAAGCCCCAGCCTCATCTCCAGGGTTCTTTGGACAGATTCCTCTTAGCTCCAGGCTTCTACTGGGGAGGTCTGGCCCAGAGCCCATCCCCACTCCCCACAGACCACAAGAAGGTCTTTCTGCTGAAGTCCCCACCCCCAACCCACAGGGGGTTCCTGTCTCAGCAGGAATTCAGACCTGATTGAAATGAGCAGCTGGAGCAGACTGGATGGGAGGGTGACTAGTGGGGAGCAGGGATCAAAGGCTCTTGTGTGTGAGGGGCAGGGAGAGGGGGTGCCGGAGTGTGCTGGCTTGCCCACAAGCATAAAGAAATGAGGCAGAGACAGAAGAGACTCGATGAAAGAGAGACAGAGAAAGATAAAGAAAATGTAGCAGAGAAAGCAACCGGGAAGCAGAGAGGAAGAAGAGAAGAGAAGTTGAGGGGGGGGGGCACGGACACAGAACAGAGAATAAAGTGGAAATCACGAGGGACAGGAACAAGGAGAGTGCTGATAGAAGAGCACAAGGTCACGAGGTCACTAGGCAATTGTGGGAGATGGAGACACAGAAAAGAGGTCAAGGACAAGTTTAGGAAGGCAGAGACAGAAAGGAGAAATAGAGACTGAACTTAAGGAAGGAGTCACATTTATTCTTTCCTTCTACATTTGTTGAACATTCCAACATGGCAGGCACATAGTGCGAGGTAAAAATCCATCGGTGCAAGCAGACACATATGATAGGGTCCAAGATGTAGCAGTAAAGACAGAACCCAAGATAAAGACCAGGAAAGGGAAAGCTAAGATTGGAGTTAGAGACTGAGGGGAGGACACAGAGATAAGAGACAGTGACAGAGAGAGAGACTTAAGAGGAGGCAGACACAAAATTCTCCCAGGCAAAGAGGGCACAATGAGTGGAACTCAGGGTGCAGCTGGAGGAGAACCTGGATGAGGGAGACCTGCCCGGGCTCGCCCTAGGGTGGCTTTCCCTCCTCAGTCCCATCTCCAACTGTGCTGCCTCTACTTTCCCTCCCCCTGCCATCACTCTTCCTAGCAGGCTCTGGAGGAGGTTCCAAGTGCTGACAGCCTCCTCCTGCCCCTCCTCTTGACCCATGTTTCTCTGCCTAAACTCCAGGTCAGGATGGAGCCCAGCTCAACTCAGAGAAGAGGAATGCAGGTAATAGACAGGCATAAAATGTCTCCCTTCCATCCACAGGCGACTTTAAGACCATCCTTTGGTCCCATGGAGCCCTCAGGAGATTGGAACATGTGATGGGGAGAAGGGAGGGTTGAGTGTGCATTCAGCTTCCAAAATAGGGCAGGTGCCTCTCCCTTCCGGGTCTGTGTACCAGCCCCCAATACATCAAAACCTCGATGCTGAGATCTCGGAAGGAGGAAAGACACCATTTGTAGCAAATGCCAAGCCCTCCCCCATCTCCTCCCACGTCATCACTGAGAAAAATGCCGCAGAGAAGAGGGTGGGCTGGAGAATCAGTCACCTACCCGCTGGTGCCGGGTCTCTGGGCCTGAGAGAAACGCCAGTCCGTGTTGGGTGGGGCTTGCTGTGGAGAAAACAGAGGGAAAGAAGCTGAGTATCCATGAGCTGTCAGAATGTCACCAGAGTCCCTGGGGATGAGCTGGAAGAGGAGGGGAGTGGGTAAGAGAAGGAAATGGGGTAAGATGGGGGAGGGGATGGCACATTTCCAAAGACCACAAAAATACCCCAGGTCCCTCTCAGAGGTCTGAGGTACCAGAGATGAAATGACATTTTTATCTGTCACAGTGAGGAAGCTTTGATTTTTTTTTTTTTAAAGCCTTCCTTTTTCCCTATCTCCAGACTCAGGACTTTGGGGCCCAAATTCAAGGACTGAAAGTATCTTCTGTGGTCCTGGAGGGAGCAGTGCAGAGAAGGCTCCTAAAAGTGGCAAAAGAGGCTTTTAGATTAGAATCCCACCAGCCCTAGAATGAAGTTATCCAGCCCTTCAGCTGGGAACAAAGCATCCTCCGCAGCAAGATGGCTGCGGCTCTGGGTAACCCTTTTCATGCCAAGTTGTGCAGCGACACATTTAGAGCGACACCTCGTCCAGGCCCTTGGCTCTCAAGGATCTCTTCCCACAGCTAAATACATTATTAATTTAGGAGTCATGCCAGACAGGGCCTTTGCTAGGGATCCAAGCCCTGGGACACCTCTTGCCCTCAGAACTCCATGCCAGACAATGGCCTGTGACTGAGAAGAGAACAAGGCTTCTCTGTCTGGAACAGAGAAAATGGCTGGGATGGAGCCCAGAGAGATCAAGCTCCCACAGCTTCCAAGCAATGCCAACTAAATCTGCAGGGCTCCCAGGGGGGTTGATCTGTAGCCATCTCCCACCTGGCTGAAGGTGTGGGTTCTTCTGTCAGCCACTTAACACCCAAGTCTCTCCCAGTCCTTCCAGGAGTATGTTATTCATTCCACCATTCATGGAGCACTCCTAGAGCCGTGTCCTCACTGGTTCTGGGAGAACATTACCGTGCCCACTACTGTGCCCACTGGTGTGCTCTCTGGGACAGGGTAATTAATTCTCACTCTGGTTCCCAGAGCAGAGAGTGTGAGCATCTCAGATTACACTGGGGAGACCTAGAACTGCCAGTGATTCACACTCAAGTCTCATAGGCGACAGTGATGTGAGCAGAATCTAGAAATCTAATATCCTCAGTATATCAGGAGCTATGAGCACTATTCTGGGGCTTCCCTGAAGATGTCCAGCCCTTAGCCAATGTATTCTTAAGCACAGCAGAATCTACATGGAGTTGCAGGGATCATGATGGGAGGATAGGGAGATGGATGACACAGGAGGATGGCGGGTCCCCATTTGTTCAGTGAGGGCTACTGTGGATGAGGAAGCCCAAAGTCTTCCCTCCTCATGTAAGGCACTAAAAGGGAAAGAATAACACCCTTGCCCCATCCCAGTAGATGCCAACTGTCTTTTGTTCAGCATCCTAAGTTTCAAGTGCCAAACCAGTCAAAGCACACTCTGGAGTTAGACAGACCAAGGTTAGACTATCACTTGCTCTGAACTTGAGCAAGTCACATGACTTCCATGAAACTCAGTTACAAGATGAAGCTAGAAACTATCCAGCAACAGTGGAGAGAAGAGCAAATGAATATCCTAGTTCTCCAATAAGGCGGGTAGTTAGCTTCTCTCAATCAGCTATCAGAAGCATCTAAAGTGTTGTTTTCAAACTATAATCCTGACTCAGGGTGGTGAATAGATATATTTTGAATAAAAACCTTCTGGGATTATGGAAATTTGTGTTTTTCACTATTATAGTTTCCTCACATATGAGGGGTACCCCTGGCATCTGGTGGAAGCTACGGCTTTCCATCTGCCAGAGGAGAAAGGACTTGACAAGAATCTCAGATATTTTGGCCACCCCCAAGTCCCTGACCCTAGATGGCTGAGCACATCAGCACATCATGGGCAGGAAGAGCCAAAAGCCTGTTTCTGAGCATCAAGAGCTGGGGTGCTCCAAGTTCCCACTCTCTTCAGGAGAAAGGGGCCCGACTGGTGCCACAGGGGTCCTGGGTTATATCTTATAAAGTTCTACTCCCTCTGCTCAAGGCTTCAGGGGCTGCCACTTTCAATATGGAGCCCTGGGTCCTGCAGGACCAGCTGGCCAGAGGGTCACAGTGTCATGCCCCCAACCCGCCTGCGCTCCACAAACTTCAGTAAAGCTCAGGTCACCCTGAGGTGACTGGCTCCCCCTCCCCGCCAGGTGCAACTGGGAAGATGCTCCCCAGTACTTGCCTGGTCCTGGGCAGCAGCGACCCGGGACTTTTACCAGAGACCACGGGCAAGGGGCTGTGAGTGGGCCACAGACAACTGGTGTGAACCTGGCAGAGAGCCATGGGGGGGGGTGAAAGCTGTTGCATGGGTGTTTGAGCTGGCGTAGGGAGGACACAGGTGAACCCTACTGGTGCACCTCAGTCCAGATGTGGTTGGGTGGAGCCAGGATAAGGAAGGTTGAAGATTACAGTGAAGCCACAGATCATGGGAACGGGTAGAAAACAGAAGAGGAAGCCTAAAAGACCCGCACAGCGTGCAGGGAACTGAAGCTTAGGAGGCTGGTAGGGTGAATCTATCACAGCCTCCACCCGAGATCCCCCACACCTGTGGAAATTGCCAGAAATTCACCAGAAACTCGGCGGAGCCCCACCCTTTTCTAAGTGTGGTGGCAGGATTTAGTGGTCCCACCTTCCCTCGTCCATAATCACCATCACCTCCCAATGCTTGGAGCCCCATCACGCAATGAGTCCAAAGGATCCCAAGAATCGGGTGGAGTACAACGAGCAGCTGAGCCAGCCCGAGAGGTGTGGATGCAAGTTCAGTCCCTTATGTGGACCGCAGGCTTCTCCAATGCCTCCCCCAGGAGTCGCCCGCGGGTGGCGCTGAGCCCTCACCTGGCTCCTCTCCCGCATMGTATTAGAGTGGGAACGAAAGGCATCAGGCTCCAGCGCCAGAGCTGAGGGTTGCTGAACGCTGAGCGGCCTGAGGAAAGTGAAGTCACTGCCATCAGAGGCTGGTGAAAAGCACGTCCTGTAGCAATGGCTCTGTGAGTCTGTGGGCCGCAGTGTCACCTCCATGTACTTAAGTGTGCCATCTGAGCTCACCTGCAGGTTGGGACTAGACTGCTTATAAAATTCCCGGGAGGGTGAGTCCTGATGCCTGCAGCACCCACCCCCACCACCATCCCCATCTGCCTGTCCCCGAAGGCACTTAACTGACATAAAGGTGAAGGTTACTAAGGATAAGAGACTGATGGTTGCTAGAGCCACAATGAGGTAAAGAGTAAGGTCTGAACGTTCAGGAGGGTGTGTGAGGAAATCACTGGATTTGGGCATTTCCTCAGGGTCTTCATCCTCCAGAACCAGTAGCACTGTGGCTGTAGAGGAAAGTGAAGGGTCACCATTGTCCCTCACGAGGACCACCACCTGCTGGGTATCAGGGTCATCCTCTAGTAAGGACCTAGCTGTGCGCACCTCACCAGTATGTGCAGACACCAGGAACAATCCTGGGGCTGTGGACTGTGGCAAGAGGGAATAAGAAAGCCATGCATTGTGGCCTGCATCAGCATCCACAGCTGTCACCTTGGTGACCAAGGAGCCAGGAGGAGCAGAGCGAGGGAGACGCTGGGGGGCTGAGAATTCCCTGCCTGGCTTTGGGTGCAGCACAGCTGGGGCATTATCATTCTGGTCAAGGACAAACACATGTAGAGATGTGTTGGCATGCAGTGGGGGAGAGCCAGAATCTCGAACCCCCACCACAATCTGCAGCATCTGCAGCAATTCATAGTCAAAAGTTCGTTGGGCAAAGACTCGTCCATCATCAGGGTTGACATACACAAARGAGGAGGATGGGGCTCCCTGAATCTGACTCCCTACAATGGAGTAGGTGAGACGGGCATTATCCCCAGTGTCTGGATCTGAGGCAGCCACAGTGCAGAGAAGGGAGCCCGGAGGCTTATTTTCTGGGATGTAAGCAGTATAGAGCTGCTGGTTGAACTGGGGTGCGTTGTCATTAACATCTGAAATGTTGATCCTGATGGTGAGACGTGTGTGCAGAGGAGGTGAGCCAGCATCGCTAGCCAGTAGCTCAATGGTATAGTGTGATGTGGCCTCCCGGTCCAAGGGCTGGCTGGTTAGCAATGAGTAGTGGTTCTCAGAAGGCTTGATCTGAAATGGGAGGTCTGGAGAGATATCCAGACTTACTTCACCATTTCTTCCTGAGTCTCGGTCCCGCACATTAAACAACCCCACTACTGTGCCCACTGGTGTGCTCTCTGGGACAGGGTTGACCAAAGAGGCCAACAGAACCTCAGGGGCATTGTCATTGGCATCCCCCACATCTACTTGAATCACACAGTGGCCCTCCATGGCTGGCTGTCCCTGGTCACGGGCTCTTGCATGAATTTCATAGAAACTTGACTCCTCAAAGTCTACTGAACCCAACACATGGATTGCTCCACTACTAGGGTCCAGGCCAAAGAGATTCCGCACTGCCTCAGAAGTATGATCTCCAAAAGAATAGTCTAGTTGGCCATTGGTGCCCTCATCTGGATCAGTAGCATTGAGGCGGAGCAGCAGGGTCCCCATGGGTGCATTCTCTGGAAGTCCCACACGTAGAACTGAGGACTGGAAGGTTGGAGCATTATCATTGATGTCCAGCACAATGATGGAGATGAGGCTGGTCCCTGAGTGAGCTGGGGTACCCCCATCCACAGCAGTGAGCACCAGCTGATGTCTTGCCTGAGTTTCACGATCTAGTTGCTGCTCTAGCACCAGCTCTGGGAAGAGCTTCCCATCTTTTAGGGTCTTCACATTCAGAGAAAAGTGGCTGCTGGGGCTTAGAGTGTAAAAGCTCACAGTATTGGTGCCTACATCCGGATCTTGGGCACTATCCAGTGGGAATCGTGCTCCAGGTGCAGCTGATTCTGAGATACGCATCTCTCGCTCAGGAGTGGCAAAGCTTGGAGAGTTGTCATTGAGATCCAGGATCTCTACCTCTACACGGATGAGCTCCAG